CTCGACGTTTGTCACGTTTTGTCTATACTAAACGAATAAAAAACATAACTTAAATTTAAAAAAGATTATAAAATATGCTAATATTTGATTATTTTTTTTCTTAAATATGTTATTTAAAGTTTTTTAAATAATTATTTTTTCTTTTTAAAAAGTCAGCGAGTAATAAACTGGAAATTTTAATATTGTACAATTAAAAACTGTGCAATAGCTAATATTTTTACAAGCGATTTTATATAATATTTATTTATTTTTATTTATTTTCAAAAAGCGGTTGATAAGCACAATCACTCGTATTAATAAAAAACTTAAACGAACGTTTTGAATAATTTTTAATGTTAACAAGGAATTTTATTTCTAGTAAAATAAAATGTTAGAATAAAAATCTTATAGGTATAAAAGAAAAATTTCAGCGAAAAAATTATTCTTAAAAATTGTTCGAAAAGCTATTGACGTTCTATTTTTCAGCACCTGTTCTTGAGCACGCTTCGTTGAGTTTCGGTAACTTTTAACATAAAATCGATCGTTATTATTTAAGTAATTTTTTTGAGTTACTTTTTACAAAAATTTTAATAACTGTACTTTTTTATTGAATCAAGTAGAATACGTTTAAATATTAATCCTTTTTTATTTTTTTATTTGCCCTCACCAATTTTTAAAATGTTTCCTCGAAATTACTCTTAAATACTTTTAATACGTCTAACAGTTAATAAATATTTTTAAATCTATGGAATAATTTTAAAACCTAACAAACCCCCGTAAAATAATTATTTAAGTTTAAAATCCAAAATTAAAAGAAAGTATTTTTATTCAGTTTTATCGACAACTTTGCTATTGCTGAATAATTTTAATTAAATTTTAGCTTAAAAGATTTAAACTTTTTTTTTAATTTTTGAATTTTTTCTACTTGTAAATAATGAGCATATTTAATTTTTTTAAATTCAAACTTTTATTTCAACTGCGTGCGGTTTTTAAAATACTTTATTAAATGTTAAAATAATCGTAAATTACTTCATTAAAATTCCGCTCAAAAATATCTTTAAATATACTCAAACAAAAAATTTTTTGCTCGACGCAAATAGCCCTAGCTACACGCAAAATCGCTCTTGGACGACGTAAAATTCACATCGCCCGACGCTTTATTGCAAGGCCTGATATATATATATATATATATATATATATATACAGGGGTCGAAATAAGTGCCGGACATCGCCGCCCCTCAGACCATTTTTGAGACCTGCTATATGAGGGCAACTAACCATTGTTCATTTTTACTGCAAAAATGAACAATGGTTTGATGGTTTGTTGCCCTCATCTAGCAGGTTTCAAAAATGGTCTGAGGGGCGGCGATGTCCGGCACTTATTTCGACCCCTGTATATATATATATATATATATATATATATATATATATATATATATATATATATATATATATATATATATATATATATATATATATATATATATATATATATATATATATATATATATATATATATATATATATATATATATATATATATGTATATATATATATATATATATATGTATATATATATGTATATATATATGTATATATATGTATATATATATATTTATATATATATATATATATATATATATATATATATATATATATATATATATATTATATTATAAATAACTTTTATTTTTTTATCTTTTCTAAAGTTTTTATTTTATGCGAAGGCTTTAAATAAAAAAAAAAAGAAATCAATTGTATGGTTGTTTAAAATAAACATATTTTTTATGTAAATTAAATGACTTACTTGACATCTGACCTGACACCTGAAACATGTCTTTTGAAACATATTTATCCAACCAAATAAATTAAACCAAAAAATAATAATTTATTATATGCAAACTTATAAAAAAATAATTGCATGCAAACAATTTATTTATATTAACACCAAAAAAAAAATTTATACCTATACCAAAGAAAACTTTCTATTTTTAATGTTAGGAATTATTGTATTTAATATTGTTGCATTTAAAAATACATAAAATGGCTTTACATAAGTATCACTTGAACTAAAAACTCCTAACTTTTCATAAGTATCACTTATGTGACACTTTAATGCAAGGTTTAAGATCTCACACTAAATTTTTCTAACAATTATTTGCACTCAGGTACAGATTCCAAATGTGCTTTTACATTATTTTTAATTAAAAGCTTTTTTTGAAAGAATAAATTCCTTTAAATATGTATAAACTAATATTAAAAAAACAAACGGTTGACATAATTTTTTTATAAATAAAATACACCATCATGTAATAAATTGTGTCATCAAAAGAAATATTTTAAAATTAGAAAAATAAAAAAGATTTTAAAAGTAGTAAACGCAAGTTTGTAAATTTCATATTTCACATATATTGCAAGTTCAATTTTATATTTAATATTAACTTTCTTTATACATAAATCGCATTGAAAATTAAAATTACAATTACTAAGTCTCAGCAAAAACAACAACAAAACATTTGTGTGTGTATATAAATGTACCTCTTTAACACCATTCTCAAAGTAAGCAACAACACACAATGAATCAAAATAAATAAAGCAATAAGTGGAATGTAATGACGGAAATATAGAAAATATAGAATTCTTTCTTTAAATTTGCTGATGACACAACTATATAATCAAGTCTTGACAAAAAAGTCATCAGTTTTTGATTGCATAGAACAAGTAGCCAATAGGTAGCCAATCTTGAATGTTGTAGTTGTTCTATAACAGCTTGGGGCTTGCATTAGCTTGTAATTAGAGCAGCCGTGGCGCAGTGGTTAGAGTTCTGGCTCAGAACCCAGAGATCCTAAGTTCGACGCCAGCTCTAGCCCAACGAGCAACATTGGTACGGAAGGAGGCGTGAACTTTTTGTTAAATGCTCTTCCGCCGTGCTCTGTGATAAGACTGTAAGGACTTCTGGGAGCACCTAAAATAGCTACAAAAAAAAAAGTAATAAAGATAGACAATATATTTCATACCTGCACAAGCCTTGCAAATTTTGTACATATCATTTTCCCATAGTCTATCTATTTTATCTCGAGTATCAGGCTTGGTCGGGAAGCGGGAGCGATCGCTCTCGAATACTGACCAGGGAAATTATATTTAGTTGCGTAAAACTGGCCAGGTTTTTTAGTCGTTTTGAGAACATTTAATTTTATGTACGAAACAAAAAATTTTTGTTTTACGGACATACATGGAAACATAAAAAATTTGAATGTTCTCAAAACATCTTTGTGCTAAAAAATAAAAAGAATATTTGCGAACACTAAAA